TAGTTACTGACAGAGTTCACAGTGCGATGGTGCCAGGGGACGTTGCCCGTAGACGTCTACGCAACCATGTTTCGTTTTTCCAACCAGAGAAGTCGCCACCTTCTAGAACTTCTTGCGTGATCTGTACCACCCAGTGAGCCACTGTATTAGCTTCAAAACACACAGACAGCACTCAGACTGTGGAGAGTGCCAGTTTAATGACTTGAAGTAGTAGATGAGACCGTGCAGAGTCCGAGGCATCAGGAAACCTACCAATCAACTCTAGTATGCAGGTGGATACGTTTATAAAAAAGCAACTTTCTCAGAGTTGTTACGAGGACCATAAAGATGTTTATTTCTGCTGTAAAGTTAGACATTTTGACACAGCGGTCTTACTCGCTGTTGGAGGCTTCCTCAAGTGGTCATTAATGGAACTGTGGTTCTTTTTGGCTTCATTTTTAAGCTCCAGAGGTTTCCTATTGTCTTTTACATACAATCTGTGCCAACAGCCGCACAAACAAGAACAGGAGTGGCCCACATTACTAGCTGTTCCACATATTTTTGAGTCTGCCTCCAGGTGACATTAGATGGCTCCAGTAAGCAGACATGGATTTTTACCGATGCCCTGCCACACCTGGTCTATTGTGCAGAAGTGTTATTGGTAGCACTGCTGTTGTTTAAGAGACCGAAGAGCATTTACGTCAATTTTAGGATTTTTCACATCGCGCAGAAGCAAAATTTCCTCATTGATTCAAGAAATTGGGAGACTTCAGTGGCACCTGTGTTATTATTTGGGTGGGTATCCAACAGTGCAGGTCCTGCTGTCATACTTTAAATAGCAAAAAAAGCACAAAAAGCACAAAGCCTCATGATTCAAACTGTAAAACCCTTCAGGATGTAAGACTAATGGTCCTGGGCACACAACACAAAGGAACACACATGTCAAATCACTACGTGCTGCAGACTATTTTCACTGCAAAATGCATTTCAAGCTTTCAATATGTGTGAATGCTAAAGGGTCTTTGGTCAAGCTGAAAACACTGTGACCTTGTTTGCACTAGAAATGCCTTCACTGCAGTGATAAAATATACAATCAAGTGTTAAAATAAGTGATTATGGCTGAAGTTAGCGGCGAAGAAAACAAGTCACAACTACAAAACAAGTACAAATGCAGCGCACGTAGACATTTGTCTTTGTCATTTACGACAGAAAGCTGAATATACTTGTGGTTTGTGGGTTTTTGTAGCAGAAAATTAGCAATTTCAAACATGCAACACTGAGTTTTAAGAAGATAACAGCAAGTATTCTCACACTATCTGGGAACAAAATGATCCTGCAGGGAAAATAACTAAACGGTTTCACGATCTGAGTCTCTGATTGTTGCTGCTGCCTTATAGCTTCACATCTTTCAGGCTTCACTGTTCTGTACCCTTAAATTGCTGAAAAAAATCTTTGAAGATACATTAGGAATGCTGCCGAGGGCGCCATTCCTCTGAGTGGCGCGAGTTTGACTGACAGCTCCCAAAGGGCCACAACATAAACAACCTCCTAACTCATAAGTTAAGGGCAAACAGTGTTTTATCAGCACTTAGAGTTTGACCTTAGAAGAAACTTTTTTAAGGATGAGCTGAAGAACAGTTTGGCAGAAACATGAGCCACCTCTTCTATCTGATTTAGACACATAAATAAAGTCACTTCTAGGAGCCAAGCTTCAGGTTTTTTGTGGAAAGACTAATTTTTCTCCTGTTCCTCGATGTTTCCATTGTTTGAACCCCTCCTTTTTTTATTTAATCCCACCTTTCTCTCTGCTACTGTCAAAAAGCCTAAATTATAACAATAGTTTATATGCAAATGAGCCACAAAGTAAATTGTAGTTTCATTTTTTAGCGTTTTATTAATTTTCCAAGATGAAAAAAAACCCAAACAACACAATCAATTGTCGAGACTCCCGGAGAGTTAATAGGCTTAAGCGTCTCAGACAGCGGTGATTTATCTTTAGACTTTCTCTCTGCGTTTCTTTTTCTGGAATCATTTAAGTCCTCATACAAAAGCATCATTTTTCACAGCGGGTGCTCGCCTCGCCTTGTCATGTTTTGTTTTGAGCTTTGACACGTCATGGTGTGTTATCTGCACTTGTGTACACTTTTTTTTTCTCTCTTCTGCGTCTTTTGCTAATTTGTATGCTCATGCTAATTTCTGTATAAACAATTACGCAAACAGCGTTCGCCCATGGGGACGTTGAGTGTGGGGGTAGGGCGAAGCAGGGTGCAGGGATCGTGTTAAATCACGTTTCTAATCAGTTGTGTCTGGGTTTGCTTTTTTCTGCAGGCAGGCGGGCAGGAGGTGACAGCTCACTGACTTACTGGTGGTGTTGTACCGGACGCCGTAAAACATCTCAGGACAGGGTCGCGCCACCAGCTGCCCCGCGCTGCTCCTTGGCCAGCAGGTGCCGATCCCATCGATGGAGGTTTCACAGTAGATTCCCGAGCCTGAAGCGCGGGGACAGAAAAGCGTCAGACACGGACATGCACGCATTCCCGTCATGTTTCATAACCGCATATAGATGTCATGAAATCCAGATAATGCTCCAAAGATCCTGGCAACAAATATGGTATCAGAATGAGCTGTTTGTGTACACAGGATTTAATGATTACTCCTGTGCTTTGCCGAGCTGAACGCCGTCTCCTGTGGCACTACGCCACGTCTATTTCCAGCATTGTTTTCCTCTTTGATGTTAGTCCTTTATAATCTGAGTTCCGATCAAACTTGTTTTCCCCCTGCGGGGTATCTAACAACAACTCAGCTCTGCAGTAAGCGTGCGGGGAATCGGTTTCACACGCGTCTCAACTCACCGCTCCACTGGCTCGTGGCGTTACTCAGGGTTTGGTTCCAGGTGGCGGCCAGGGACTGCACTGCAACCCAGAGAGAAACAGCTTCATCAATAACCTCAATCATTGTTTGCTCAGTTTAGAAGAGGCAATGAAAATCTCATTAGATTCAGCTTAACAGCTACAAAGGGTGAGCACGAAAGGGCAACGGTAAACACTGATGACAGACCTTTCCTCCAGCAATAAGGGGACGGTAGCAGCAAATATGAATGTAGACGTGCCCCGAGGGTCAGACTATTACTTCTGTAATAACTCAAGAGGAATTAGATAAGAAGGAGCCGGAGATAAGGACGTTCTGCAGGGGAAAAGGTGACACTTAATTTTAATGCTTTCATTTGAGGTTTCCAAACCACTTTTCACACCCACGTGTGGCAAGAAAACGAACGAAACAAAGTAAAATATGAAAAGTGCATAAAAGCTGCCACTGGTCATTTGTTCAAATGCATGAAAGGATTTTGTTTTACATTTTTAAAAGCAGGGTAGCTTTAACCGTTTAAAGGTTACAGGCTGACATACAGTGAGGGAAACAATAATCTCCTGCTGATCCCCGGCTGAATGAACAATTTCAAATTTTTTGTTAGTTTCATTTTAATGATGAGAAAAAGAGAATTGGGCAAAAATCCAGAAAAAACACACATATTATATAAAAGTTATAAATAGATTTGCATGATATGACTTGGCTAGGCCACTGTATGACTTCTTTAGCTGCCCCTTTGTTGCCTTGGTGATGTTGTCTTGCTGGAAAACCCATCTTCCAACCTTTATGATTCTGGATGAGGGAAGGTTCTCATCCAGGATTTTACGGTACACGGCTCCCTCGACGTGTTGAAGTCGTCCCATACCCTTAACAGAATGACAGCCCCAAAGCATAACGTTTCCACCTCCATGCTTGACTGTGGATGGTGCTCTTTGGGTCATACTCTGCATTTCTCAAACACGGCGGGTGGACCAGAAAAGCTAAAACTGGATTTGGGTGTCATCTGATCACAGCTTCAAGATTTCTGTCCATTACGCCGTGGTGTCATTTCACAGATTCTTTCACAAATAAAGGCAGATGGCTTTGTTTTGGATTTTATGCACCCTTGGGACAGAAAACAGGTGAGTTTAAAGGTTCAGAAATATGGCCCAGTACTTTTGTTTCGATCAGGGATGTCAAACGCAGGGCGCAGAGGGTCGAGTGGCACTTTGGAAGACTTCGCAAGATGAAGTTTAAAAACTAAATGTACCAGTTTTCCAGATGTGGAGCTGTGATGTAAGTATTATTTTACTTACATAAAATCACACATTAACCTCTCAGGCTGGTGTCAGAATTTACTTCTCTTTCTTTGCATATGGAAAATAGAAAATTTGAACAGGTCAACATATAATTTACTGCTTGGGCCCATTTGATTTCACCTGTGTCTGTCACCCGTGAACTGAAAATGAGATAATCCACTGGCAAAACTCCTGTTTCTGCAACCAAATAGTAGATGCTTGCAATTAAAAAAAGATTTGCATGAACGTAATTATCATATCCAAACTAAATTTTATTGCATTTAACTAAATATGGATGTGACGCAAGTTTTGCATGCCACTGAGTTGAATCTCGAGGCCTGGGACTAAAAATGTAACACATGTCTCGATTGGCCAAGATTGGAGCGACAGCTTGCCAAAATCCATAGTTCATAAATAGCAGAAGCAGAAGACAGAAAATAACTGTGTAGTCATGTTATGTTAACACATTTTTAAACAAACAAAAAAACACTGTTTCTACAGAGAACAGAGTCGACTTAATGAGAAATTCTTTTCATTACTATTTCTGTTTCTGTGGTTTTCCCCTATTAAAACAAACCCATATAATTCCAGTTAAGAATGTGATCTTTTATTGTTTTAATAATTTTATAGCTTAATAAACTGGATATTTTTGGGTTAGATAATGAGTCATGAACATTTTTCACAATCGCATTAAAATTTATTTAAATAACGTCTTAACAGATTTACCAAAACAAAT